CCACCGTCAAGGGCGGCACGCGCACCGGCCTCGTCCGGCTCGCCGCCTCCGCCTCGGGCCTCATCTCCGCCTTCACGCCCGAGTGGATGGCGAACAAGCTCTGGCGGCCGGTGCCGTGGCGCCTCGCTCCGAACCCGTTTCCATTGCAATCGGGGTCCCAGTAGAGATAGTGCGACGCTGAGGCGTCGCGGAAGTACGGCGCCCCTGAGAAGGTGTAGCCGACCGCGACATACTCGACGTTGTCGAGGATAGAGCTTCGCGAAGCGCAACCTCCGGTGACCATGAGCGGCGGCGGGAGTGGCGGAGGCGGCGCTGTCGCTCGCGGCAGAAACGTGACTAGGAGCGCGGCGGTCGAGCCGCCCGTGCTGAGTACCGCGAGGAACGCGAAGAAGATGCTGAGCAGGTGGAGGCGGCCGGTGACGACGGCCGGAGAAACGTTGAGCTTCAGCATCGCTGCTTTCAGGCGGTTTGCCTCCAGGCTGGACGGGGTACAGGTACAGGAGTGGGACGCCTCGGTCCCCACGTCGGCGAATCGGTCGGCGATGCGCTTGTGTTTTCGATTATTGGGGTGCAAGGCTACAGCGTGCCAAGCTGCAGAAACGAGCTTTTGGTGGCTATAAGCATAGGCACTGAGATGATTATGGTGCACGCGGAGCGCGCTGGTGCTACCCGGACACACGCGCGGAGCGCGCAAGCTAGACACACGCGCGGAGCGCGCCGGCTAGATACCGCGGAGCAAGAGCAAATCAACACAACCGTTCGAATGCTGACGCCGCAAGTCGTTGCCGCCGAGTGCCAAAGTGCGCCTGGATTGCTCAGCAGCACAAGCATCCACGGAGCCAGCGAGCGCCGAGCGACATTGCCTTGACTGAGCCGGACCGGGACATGTCGGCGGCGGCAAACTTGAAATGGTGCCGATAGATAGGTGATAGCCGAGGTAGCTCCGGCGGACGTGAGAGCAAGGCCTGACGATACACTGGCAAATGCCGAAGCCCTCGCCGCCCTCGCTGCCGCCCAGGCATCGCCACTGCGAATGCCCAAGCCCTCGCCACCCAGGCATCGGCATCGCGGGTGACTAAGAAAAAAATTCGAGCCCGCTGTCCCTTTTGTCAGGGGCAGGAGAACTAGAGTGGGCAAGGGGCAGGCGTAGTTTCTTCCCCCCCCTCCGTCGGAATCGACAACTCATTAGTCGAACTGGCGACTCATAATGAATCGGAGATAGCCGCGCAGCGGCTATGTAGGTTATCCGACAACGCGAGGAGAGGAACCGACATAGAGCAATCCACACCGGAAGGTGTGGAAACGTGACGTAATAACATGTTACGTCCGTCCGAGAGGATCTCATTCGATCGTGTGTCGGGCCCTCGCGCTTTTCGCTGCCCGAGTCCCGTCCTCGTCTGCTCGAGTGAGATGACTAGCCCAAAGTACACCTTTGGGATCCCTGGAGCCGCCACAGACGTGGCGCGCCGCGACGCACTGGGCCAGACGGCAGGGGGCATGATCCGAGTGGGCGCACAACACTGGCTCGCTAAGGCCCTCAAGCCGGAGCTGCTGACGCGGCAGGGAGACGCGTACGAAATGACATACCACGCGATCGAGTTCGTCCTCTGTCCGGCGATTGCCAAACTCGGCGAGGGTTTCGCCAAGTTGACATGGTACATCAAGCTCACCCGCCTCAGCTCGCTGCTTAAAGATCTGTGTGAGACAGGCGGCTTGAGCTTCACGACAACCGGACTGAGTCTGGAGGCTGCACGCTCGGCGGTGGAAAAGGCAGCAAAGGACCTGACAGCGCCAATGCGAACGCTGACGGCGGCCCAGATCCACCAGTACGACAGTCCCAACACCGGCTCGTTTTTGGACAACCTGTCAGCCGCAAGGCTGATTGGCAATGACGGAAGCCTGAGCACGATGTGGCAGGCGCGTCAGCTCCTCCCAGGAATCTGGTCCGACCAACAGTGGACGTCGGACCCGCTCGGCGGCGCCATCGCCACTATGGTTCCAGACGGGTTGGTGGGCAGGCCGCCCAGGGAACAGGTTGCAGGCGTCGTGCAGATGCTGCTGCAGACCACGGTTCGCAACCAAGATCTTCTGAGCTACATCCATCCTGACAAAGTGGAAGACGAGATCCAGCGACGCAAGAGCGGCGACAAAGTCGATTCGCTGGTCGCGGCAGCATGGAGCACGGCGTATTCGCCCTTGCGGAAGATCTTCGCGCCAGACACACCGGGATTCGAGGTAGTGAGCGCGCTCAAGGAAGGGATCTCGGCGCTGGGCTTCGGCAGCGCAGAGATTACGCTACAGCAGATCACAACTTTCTGCTCCAAGGTAGCCCCAGCCCTCACCACGCTGGTCGACGACCCGGCCGACATCGCCGGAAACAGAGGGCGACTCGAGAAGGCAATCACGAGTGCCAAGGCCCTCACCGCCGCCGCCCGCGGGGTCCAGGGCGGCAAGGACATGGCAGTGACGACGACGGACGCAGAGTCACAGTTCGGGGAGGTCTCGAAGAACGACAGCTTCATAGCTCTCGACAAGGAGATCACCTCCCTGGCGAGCGGGACACTGAACGTCGACGGACAGAAGAAGACCGTAAAGGCGCTGCTGGCCAGCAAGTGCGCAGCCGGGCCGCTCTTCGTGATGAGAAAGCAGCCGGCGATGGACTCACAGCAACCGTTCAGTATGATAAGACAGCTCAAGGTGGGCGACGGCAAGGGCACCGGAGGAGTGACCATCCAGCAGGTGTGCAACGATGCGCTCTCCACTAAGGATGGAACCGTCCACCAGTGGGGCGAGCTCATCAGCACCGCCGACGCCACGAAGTTCGTCAAGGGAAACCTGGAGTGCGTCAAGAGTGCAGGCGGCTTCGATTTCTGGGACCTACTCGCACCGTCCATCAGCAAGAGAGAAGGAAGCAGGGCCGTCGCCAACGCCTCGACAGGGAAGACTGGCGACAGCCGTTGGATCTTCCTCAACGCGAGGCCACTCGAGCTCATGCTCGCGCCACTGTGGGACCTTTTCAAGCTGCTCGGGTACAGCAAGACCACCGCAGGAGGCTTCCATGGAACCTTCAAGAACATCATCTCGCGAACAAAGGTGATCGACGACCTGCCGCCGGAGGACACCAGGACCTCAGGCTGGTGCAGCGTTCTTTACCCAGCCTTGGCGAAAGGAAATGTCGGCGACAGTGACTGCGGCCGACGTTGAGGCGGCTATCGCAGAAGCGAATGCCGCACGTCCACTACTGCTGAGAGGCTCTGGCACCGATGCATTTGTCGATGAGGCTGGGCGTAGCTGCATTTACGCAGAATGCCCTTTCGGCGTCTACAACGTCGCGCAGCCCTTTTTCGAGCCCTCTCACGAATCTCAAGCAAATCCGAGGCTGGACATGTACGATAACTACAAGAACGAGCCGAACACGGGCGATAAGGAAGCGGCGAGGTGCTGGGATGGCATTGGGTGCATGGCGCGTCGAATCAAGCCCCTGGTATGCCCGAACGACCAGGCACGCTGCACGTGTGTGCCCGGAATGACCGCCCAAGCGCGCGCATCTTGGAAGCCGGCGTCCAACCACTGCTCGGGACCATCATTCACCGGAATGAACGATAATCCGGCTACTGTCAAGTGCTGCGACGGCCACGACTACTGCTACGGCACCGCGTTTACCACGATGGCGGAGTGTGACATGGCATGGGGCAATTGCCTCATGGCGACTGCCGGGTACACTAAGTTCCAAGCGCAGACGGTGATGTCGTTTTTGCAGCACTCGTATTTCGTCGAGAGCCAGCAGTACGCAGTCGAGTGCGTCTGAGCGTGAGATGCGCGAGCGAGTCGCTTCCCGAGACAGCAAGGCGCGCGCGTGGAAGCCCGCTCCCGATTTGCGATGAGCAGCCATTCCTTTGCTCGCTTGAGGCGGTGGGGAGTGGGTGGGTGGTGGTGTGGGAGGGGGGGGGGGGGAGCGCCGGGCCGTGACATCAGTGCGAGCCGTGTTGCGGACCCGGTGGAACAACGCAGTGGCTCCCCGCTCTCGCGGTAGCCAGATGACGCCGGAATCGTGTGAACTGTGAATCGTGCCCGACCGGTGCGGCCTCCGAGTCGGCGTCTAGCGCGCGCGATAAAAATAAAATATTCTTAGCTTCAAGCCCCCCTCCGAGACTAGAGACAGAACCACACCAGTATCGGACCAGAGGGACTGCCCCCCCCCCCGCCCACTTGCCCTGAACTTGACGCGTGGCGTGCGGCGTGGTGCCTGTGTGCGCGCCTCTGCCGGAGGTCGCCAGTCTCTCCTGATGCACCGTTAGGGAAGTCGTTTTCACACAGACACACAAAGAGACACCGTCGCAGGGTCACCAAGTACGCTCGAGAGGGCTCGCGCTCGGCTGCGCCTCCGGCGAGACGAGTACCTCGAGCGCCCCGATCGCCTCGGTCACCGCGGCCACGAGCCGCGACGCCTCCCCCTCGCTGCGCGGCCCGTCCCTCCGCCACCTCGCCGCGTCGTGGTGCCGCGCCGCGTTCGCCCAGATGCGCAGCGAGTGCAGCTGGCTCCGCAGCTCGGTCGGCAGGCCGCACTCGCGGTGCCAAAAGTTGATGCGCTCCTCGAAGCCGTCGGGCGCCGCCGCAGAGCACGAGGCGTGAACAGCGTCGAGGCGCGGCATCAGCGTGTTGAACGCGAGCAGCATGTTGCCCTGGATGCGCGCCTGCGCGTCGCCGGACGTGCGCATGCCGCGCACCTGCACCGAGAGCGGCGAAGGCTCGTAGCCGGTGGTGCGAGCGGCTGCTGTGGCGGCCTCGTCTCCAGGTGCCGGCGCAGCCTCCTCCACCCCCGCCCCTCGCTGCGAGCTAGAGAGCAACGCCCGGAGAGCTAGCAGCGCCTCAGGCAGCGTCGGCCGCTTGCGCAGGCTGTTGTGGCAGAGGCTCTTCTGCCCGTCTCCCGCCTGTGCGAGGCCCTTGACAGCGCGAGCCGCGTCGGCTGGCCAGCCCGCAGCCACGTCGGCGAGCTTCGCCGCGTCGATGTCGGTCCAGTCCTCCTCTAACTCGTCCTCGCACCGGTCGGTGAGCTGCACCTCGGACCGGTTGGTGAGGCAGACGAGGAGGGTGATGCCGATGGCGTAGCCGTCCGTCTTGCTCGAGTACTCGCCCCCTTTGATGATCGAGGGGCAGAGGTAGCCCGTGGTCATGTAAAGGGCGGCAGTCGAGCTGCAGCGGACGGACGCGTCTGGCCGCTGGTCCTTGGCGAAGCCCGTGTCGGCGAGGACAGCGGTCAGCTTCTCGTCGAGCAGGATGTTGTCCGGCTTGACGTCGCGGTGCACGATGCCCTTCGAGTGGAGGTAGACGAGCGCCTCGGTCGCCTCGCACGCAATGCGAACGCGCTGCCGCCACGTCAGCGGCCTCGGCGGCTCTGCCATGCCCAGCCGCCGGAGCTGCGCCGCTCGGTCGGGATCCGAGATGCGCAGCCGCGCCTCGAGCGAGCCGCCGCGCATCAGCGGCGAGAGAAGGCAGACGCCGTCGGGCGAGAGGCAGTAGCCGAGCAGCGGCAGCAGGTGCGGGTGGCTCACCGCCTTGAGAAGCTTCACCTCGAGCTCCGCCCGAGACAGGCCGCCCGACTGGCCCGACTTTGCCCGCTTGACGACGAGCGGCAAGTGGCGCAGCTGCGGAGGCGCGGAGAGGGAGAGGTGGAGGTCGGCCGACGCCTCGTAGACGTGGCTGAATCCGCCGCTGCCAATCAGCTTGCCCTCTGCAAACCCGTCCGTCGCCGCGGTGAGGTCCGACAGGGCTAGCTCGACGGGCCGAGCAACAGCCGCCTCCTCCGCCGCGGCCGGCTCGGCAGCGACAGACAGCAGATCCAGCCGCGACTCTGCCGCGCTCAACTCCTCGTCCAGCACAGGCAGCACGCCCACGTGCGGCCTGGCGGCGGCGATGCCCGCTCGGAGCGCGGAGGGGCTGTCCGCTGTGTCGAGCGACTTGAGCGCGCCCATCGCCGCACCATGCGCCTTGCGCAGCCGCTGGCTGTCCCGCCTCCGCGCCTCCTTGAGCTTGTCGCGCGCGCGCCTCGCCGCCGCCAGCACGGCCGGGCTCGCGAGGCTGCTGTACACCTCCAGCGCTCTCGCTAATCCGTCATACAGGCCAGCAGCCACGGCCTGCTGCAGCGCCTCGTCCGCCGCAGCGATGGCGGCTGCGTCGGCGGGTGGAGTAGGAGAGGCTGGCGGCGGGGGTGGCGGTGAAGAGGCGGCGATGGCGCCGGGGCCCGGAGCCGAGACGAGTGCCTCGCCGCCGCCGCGCTTCTTCTTCTTCTTGCCCTTCTTGCTCTCCTTGGCGCGGTCCTCCTTCTCCGCCTCCTCCTCCGCCAGCAGCGCATCGGCGTGTCGCGACGCCTCCGCCTCTGCCGCCGCTCTCTCCGCCTCCCTCGCTGCTGCCTCCGCCGCCACCTCGGCCGCCGCATGCTCCTCGAGGGCGCGCACGCACTCGGCGTGGCCGTGCTCCTTCGCCCACTGCAGCGCGGACTGGCCGTCCTCAGAGCGCAGCTTTGTATCCGCGCCCGCCCGCAGCAAGCGCCGCACGACGGCGGGGTGGCCTTGGATGGCGGCGATCATCAGCGCGGTGACGCCGACGCTGTTCTGCCTGTTGATCTCCGCGCCGCGCTGAAGCAGCAGCTCGACCACCCGCAAATGACCTTGGGCGGCGAGCATCAGCAGCGTGAAGCCGCTCACCTCGCCTCTCTCGTATGTCGCGTTGACCTGCCCGCCGCTGTCGAGCCACGACAGCACCGCCGCCTCGTCGCCTTGCGCAATCGCTACTACAGCCTCTTTGGGAAAGCTGCCCAGCGAGCTAGAAGAGGCCGCCGCACTCTCTCCCGCCTCCGCCTCGCCCGAGGAAGCGCCGCCCGCGCCGCCCGCCGCCGCCTCGCGCCGGCCCGTAGTCACCTCCGCGACGTGCTGCCGGAAGGCCTCGACACACGCGGCGTGGCCCTTCTCCTTGGCCATCTGCAGCGCTGTCTTGCCGCTTTCAGAGCGCAGCTTCGTATCCGCGCCCGCACGCAGCAAACGGAGCACGACGGCGGGGTGGCCTTTGCCGGCGGCGTACATCAGCGCGGTGCCGCCGCGGCTGTTCTGCAAGTTGATCTCCGCCCCGCGCTGAAGCAGCAACTCGATCACCCGCTCGTGGCCTTGGGCGACGGCGAGCATCAGCGCGGTGATGCCGCTCGTATCGCCTACCCCGCAAGTCGCGTTGACCCGCCCGTCGCTGTCAAGCCAAGCCAGCAGCGCCGCCTCGTCGCCGTGCGCAATCGCTACTACAGCCTCTTTGGGAAAGCTGCCCAGTGAGCTGAAAGAAGCGGCACTCGCCCCCGCCACCGCCTGACCCGAGGAAGCGGCGCCCGCGCCGCCCGCCGCCGCCTCGCGCTGGCTCGCAGTCACCTCCGCGACGTGCTGCCGGAAGGCCTCGACGCACGCGGCGTGGCCGCTCTCCTTGGCCCACTGCAGCGCGGACTTGCCGTTCACAGAGCGCAGCTTCGTATCCGCGCCCGCCCGAAGCAAGCGGAGCACGACGGCGGGGTGGTTGTTGGCGGCGGCGTGCACCAGCGCGGTGACGCCTTGCCTGTTCAGCATGTTGATACCCGCCCTGTGCCGCACCAGCAGCTCGACCACCCGCTCGTGGCCGTAGCCGGCGGCGAGCATCAGCGCGGTGTCGCCGTCGCTGTCCTGCAGGTTGACCTCCGCGCCTCGCTGCAGCAGCAACTCGACCACCCGCTCGTGGCCTTGGCGGGCGGCGGCAATCAGCGCGGTGATGCCTCTGCTGTCCTGCAAGTCGATTTGCGCGCCGCGGTGCAGCAGCAACTCGACAACCCGCTCTTGGCCTTGGTGGGCAGCGAGCATCAACGCGGTGATGCCGCCCACACCGTCTTTCTGGCAAGTCGCGTTGACCTGCCCGCCGCTGTCGAGCCACGCCAGCAGCGCCGCCTCGTCGCCTTCCGCAGCCGTTTTCGCCGCCTCTTCAGGAAGGCTGCCCAGCGAGCCGGAAGAGGCCGCCTCGCCCGAGGAAGCGCCGCCCGCGCCGCCCGCCGCCGCCTCGCGCCGGCCCGTAGTCACCTCCGCGACGTGCTGCCGGAAGGCCTCGACACACGCCGCGTGGCCCTTCTCCTTGGCCATCTGCAGCGCGGACTTGCCGCTTTCAGAGCGCAGCTTCGTATCTGCGCCCGCCCGCAGCAAGCGGAGCACGACGGCGGGGTGGCCTTTGCCGGCGGCGAGCATCAGCGCGGTGCACCCCATGCTGCTCTGCTGCGTGCCGCGGTCGCTGTTCTGCAGGTTGACCTCCGCGCCGCGCTGCACCAGCAATCCGACCACCCGCTCGTGGCCGTTGATGGCGGCGAGCATCAGCGCGGTGCCGCCGTCGCTGCTCTGCTTGTTGATCTCCGCACCGTGCTGCAGCAGCAACTCGACCACCGCCAGGTGGCCGTACAAGGCGGCACCCAACAGCAGCGTGAGGCCGCTCACGCCGTCTCTCTCGTACGTCGCGTCGGCCCGCCCGCCGCCGTCAAGCCACTCCAGCACCGCCTTCTCCTCGCCTCGATGAGCCGCTAGCACGACCGCGTCGGAGCAGCTCATGGAACCTGTGCCCCCTAACGCTTGCCCGATCGTGGGTTCCGGCACTTTGAGGGGAGGGGAGTTGTCGTGTCTAATCGTAGTAAGTGAACGTTAGTGAGGCCCCTGGCCCCCCTCTAGTTTTTTTTCTGTTTTTCAAAACGCCCGCCAGCCCGCCACCCTCGAGGCGGCTCGGCGGCCGCCCCCCCACCCTGACCCAGAGATCAAAAACGCTCCTGGGACATTTTCGACGCTTTTGTCCCATGTACTCGTGCAACATGCCTCTAGTCGTCCCTCGAGATAGGTGAGCACCCATGAGCTCGAAGAAGACCAAAAAACGATTCCACGAGCAGCCCAAAACATAGCTCATAGGCGCGGGGCGACACGTGCAGACTCTTTGTACACACGCCAGTCTCCTCGCTCCCGGGAATGCCGCCAAGACGCTGCTGGCGGCGGGATCCCTCCCCCTTTTCCGTGCACCTCACGTTGCGCCGCGCAGGGGGCGGATGGTGGTGATGGGGCTGTGCTCTGCGAGGCCCCAGATGATGGCTGGCCCGGCCACACGCTGCGCCTCCACGACGCCCGCGTGCTTCAGCGCCAGCCGGTCCTCGTGAGGGTTGCGCGGCTTGCGGCCGCACGGCAGGCGGAGCGAGGAGCGAAGCGTGACATAGACTGCCTCCTCGTGCACAATCGCTCCCTGCGCCACACCCGCCTGGTGCTGCGCCAGCGTCCTCTCATACTCGTTCCGCGGCGCCCGCATGCCTCGCGCGCCGTGCAGCAGGAACGCTGGTGCCGGAATCCCGAGGGCGATACCGGCCTCCTCGTGGGCGACCCTCTCCTCGTACGGGTTCAATGGCGCGCGGCCGCGGAAGAGGACCGGAGACGCGGCACGCGTGCTACGCATCTCGCGTATTGCGATCCCGATCACGACGACAGACTCATCAGCGAAGCGCTGCGGCTGCGGCTGCTGCTGCTGCTGCTGCTGGTGGGCTTGCTGCTGCGGCGGATGCGGATGCGGCGGCTGCGGCTGCGGCTGCGGTGGCGGCGGCGGCTGCGGCGGATGCGGCGGCGGACGTGGCGGCTGCTGCAAAGGCGCCATTGGCGAGGGTCTCGCTGCGTCTCAAGAGCACCTGTGGCCTCACGAAACAGCGCGACGATTAATCACCAGCACGGGGGGACCAACGCAATTAGTTCAAGCTTTTTTTCGAGCTATGAAGCGCACCCAGTTTCGACACCCAGTTGGCCGGACGATTGGGATCGGGCAACATTTTTAGCCCCCCGCTACCCGGTTGCACTCGTGCGACGTAGCGGGGGGCCACGACTACGTTTACGAAAACATAAGTAGTCCCGCGAGGTGTGAATTGGCCGCCCCAGTAGCCCCCATTTCCACTGGAAGCGCTTTTCGTGGCAAACCCAAAGTTGCGCTGCGCGCCGAACGCCGCTTTTGAAAGCGCGAAACGAATCTCGTCCTACCTCCCACCGGCCCCACCGGCTTTTCGTCGCCCAGCTACTGGGGCGGCCAATTCACACCTCGCGGGACTACTTATGTTTTCGTAAACGTAGTCGTGGCCCCCCGCTACGTCGCACGAGTGCAACCGGGTAGCGGGGGGCTAAAAAGAGGCAGAAGGTGTGCGAGACAGTAGCAGGTATAACTACAGCTGTGTCCACACGGGCGTCAGGTATTTCCTCGGTGTTTTGGCCAGTTCAGAGAGTTCTCTCTCTTTTCCAGATTCAGAGAGACTACTAGATCAGGCAGGCCGATCAGCCGCGCGAAGCAAGCGTAGTAGCTAGTACGGCTCTACGTATGTTGCCGATTGCCGTGTCGCGCTTACGGCTTAGAGCCGTACACGGAGCTCACACCCATGCTCACCCCATGCTCCGCGCTTACCCCATGCTCCGTGGTCCGTGATCCGTGTAGTGCGCGGTCACGAGGACTCCACCGTAGGCCCCTGCTCCACCGTAGGCTCCTGCTCCTCCTCGCTGTCGCTCGTCTCAACCTTGACCTTCAGCTTCACCTCCGGAGGAGTCGCGTCTCCTCCGGCGTCCAGGCGCTGCTCCGCCCGGCTTGCAAGCCCCTCGATCGGCAGATCGCACGCGGCGGGGAGACCCTCCTTGACGTCGACGGTCGACTGCTTGATCGCGCGCCGAAGGAAGTCCGGCTCCGGCTCGGCGGTGTTGCTGCCCGAAGCGGCGAGCTTCCGCAGGTTGGCCGGCTCGAGCACCTGGAGGATGGCGGTGGTGGCGGGTGTGGTGGCGGCAGTGGGTGGCGGGCGGTGGCTGGGGTGGTGGCGCTGGATGTGGGGGATGGCGAGCGGTGGACTGGGCACCTCGGCGAGCAAGCGCTCAAAGTTGTGCTTGGTCACGACCTCGACGGCGCCGGGGCTGACGGTGTCCCGGATCTTGTCGCCGTCGGACGTGATGCAGCACTCGACGTGAAGGAGGGAGGGCGCCGCCTTCGCAGGCGCTGGGAGCACCTTTGCGACGGACACGATCCCCGCGGGCCAGCGCACCAGCACGCGGTCCTTGGGCTCGGCGACGGCGCCCAGCAGCGCCGAGGCATACTGCTGCTGCACGGTCAGCTTGCGCCGCTTGGCATCGCGGTCCTCGAACTCGGCCACACGCTTCTTGAGCTCTTGCGCGTGTGTTTCGACCGCGGCGTTACGCTCGGCGCGAAGCCGGTCCGCCTCGGCCGCGAGCGTGGCGTGCTGAGCCCGCAGGTCGTCATTCGCAATCGCAAGGCGGTTCTTCTCCTCGAGGAGACCGCTCAGCCACGCCAACGGGTCAACTGGCGCCTGGACCGCCGGTACGTGGTCCGCTGCGGCCTCCGCAGCAGGCATGGTAGCCATGTGTTGTGGCGGACTGGCGGACACAGATTTTGTAGAAGCCAATCAACCGCCAAGGGTGGAGAGGCTCAGGTGCGGACTGTTTTGTGCTAGCGCACTACCACCACAGGAAACCCATTTTGTGTGAGCTCTGTGTCTTGCTTTGCCAACAAACCTAACACTAAGATCTAAGTAACTAAGCTATGCCCTCTGCGCAGGTTTTTTCTTTCTTCTTCCTGTGTTAGTGCCAGTGCGCGCCAGTCCCGTGCCCAGTGTTGTTCGAGGGAGTTTTGTTGTAAGATTCTTCTTCTTCTTTTCTGATATTTGGGCCGAAATCAGCGTCGCCGGCAACGTCCTGGTGCTCGTCTACTCCGTCAGTATGGACACGCTTCCGGATATCCCCAAGATGAGCACAGGGCCTCCGATTGAAGGCGGGTTCGCTCCCCTGCCACCCTTCCCTTCTCTGTTTGGTCGCACATGCTCGCTATTTTCTGCGATTGCTGTCCATGCGCTGGCGATTGTCCGGGTGTCCTCTCAGGACCCGGGTCACGCTCTCGAGGCTCGGCTCGCACGACCGTGTCGCGTCGGCACGGCTCCCGTCTCTTTCGCGATCCAGGATCCCCTCTGTCGGGCCTGTCGTCTCGCTTTGTGGGCTCGGCTCTCGCAGGGGCTTCCCGTGCGACGAGGTCCGTGCTCCCCATCTCTCGTGTCCGGGTGTCCTCTCAGGACCCGGGTCACGCTCTCGAGGCTCGGCTCGCACGACAGGCTGTTGCCCCTAACAGGCTGCTGCCCATGACATAAGCTGTTGCCCATGACAGGTTGTTGCCCCTGACAGGCTGCTGCCCATGTCATATAAGCTGTTGGCCATGACAGGCTGTTGCCCCTGACAGGCTGCTGCCCATGACGTCTAAGCTGTTGCCCATGACAGGCTGTTGCCCCTGACAGGCTGCTGCCCATGACATGTAAGCTGTTGCCCATGACAGGCTGTTGCCCCTAACAGGCTGCTGCCCATGACATATAAGCTGTTGCTCATGACAGGTTGTTGCCCCTGACAGGCTGCTGCCCATGTCATAGGTTGCCCATGACAGGCTGTTGCCCCTGACAGGCTGCTGCCCACGTCGTGATCTCGCCCCTTGTGGTCGACACTGAGGTCGCCAACTGTGGGCGCCAGCAGCTTACCTTTGGCTTGCTATTGGCATGCCTCTGGCTTGCCTCTGGAGGACTCGGTCATCCGTCGTCCTCGGACAGCTCCAGCTCAGGCCCAATGCCTTGGCGGCGGCGGGTTGGGGAGCTGTCTCTCTGGGCGTCACGTTGCATACTGTCTTGCACGTGGCCCCAGTGGAGGTCTGCCCATGTGGGCCGGCCTCTTCCATGCCGCACCAGTACGGTTCCTGCGCTGCCTGCATTGCAATCGACATTGCGGCGGCATGCGGCGGCATTGTGACGGAACGTTTGGTTGCGGCGGAACGTCGGCTCGAAAGGCCCATCGCCGACGATATGATGCGCCTGCCCCACTGGCGTGGGATCAGGGCGAGATGTCATCAAGCGAGATTGCGCACGACTCGGACGATGGGGTTGAGCAAGCAGCCCGAAGCTGCGAGCCGACGGCGACGCGTGCTTTCGGCGTTTCGGCGATTTGGATGGATCGCACGTTTTGTTATGCTTGCTCTCCCCATGTTGAAGGATAACCTACATAGCCGCTGCGCGGCTATCTCCGAATATGCGATATGCATATGACGTTTTGGTACGGCGGCGGCGGGCTGCGAGAGAGCGACCAGACTCCCAGGGCGGCGAGAGAGAGACCCCGCGCTCAAGACCAAGACGGCAAGAGCCGCGAGCGTCCGGCACACATGTGTGCGCGCGGACGCGTGAGAATTTTTTTCCTGCTGTGCCGGTGTGTACAGTGTGAGTCGTGACTCGTGTTGCTTGCTGTGTGGTCCTTTTCATGTTTCATCGCTCGGCGAACTGTGTGCCTCAATGCTCAAACGTAAGTTCGTAACCCGCCCCCCCCCACCCCCCCTTGTTCGCCACGCAGCCGTGCACGCCTGCTGCACCGCCGGCGCCGCCACCGCGCACTCTCTTCAGGAGCTGGTAGCGTCCTGCTCACGACCAAGCAGCCGTCGAGGCTGGCCCACACGCGACGTGAGCGAAGCGCGAGAGCCGAAACTCAGCCGGCGCCTTGAGCATGACAGGCGTGTGTGTGGCCGCCTTACCCCCATCGCCGAGCTGCCCGCCGTCGTTCCACCCCCATGTGAAGACGTTGCCGCTCGAGAGCACAGCTGCGGTGTGGGCGTCGCCGCACGCGACGCCGAGGATCCGCAGAGGCACCACCCGCCCCAGGGCCTCGTCGTACTCCCGGAGCGACGCGAGCGTCGTGACCGGCCTCAAGCCGGCAATGTGAGAGAAGGCGCGCGCGCCGAGGGCGCCCCACCGGCCGTATCCGCACGTGTAGAGCTCGTCACCACGCGTGGTCTCGACAAGGAAGGCGGTGTGTCCGCCCTCAGTGCCTCCGCCGCCTGCGGCGACGGCTCGCACCCGCCCGTCCCGCCCGTCGGCGAGCCACGGCCCGCTCACAGCCGCCGGGCGTGAGGCATGGGTGGCGCCTCGCCGCAACGCCTTGATGGAGTCGTCTCGCAATCCGAGCTGCAGGTGGCGGTCGTCCCCCCACGCGAAGGCCGAGCCGTCGTCCAGCACCGCCACGCTATGCCCATGCCCACAGGCGGCGCCCACCACGCGGGCGCCGGCCGGCAGTGCCACCCTTGCCGCCTCCTCGGCCGCCAGCTTCTCCACGCAACCGCCGCTCCCGCCGACGCTGTCGCTCGTGCCGCCTTCTTGGCTCCCTTCGCTCCCGATGCCGATGCCGAGCTGGCCCCGCTCGTTTGCGCCAAAGGCAAAGAGCGCGCCGTCCTTGGCAGTCACGAGGACATGCGACTCACTCGCGGCGACCGCCGTCGCTGAGACGGCAGCAAGAGCGCCTCCAAGACGCACCGGCGATGGCGGCGCGGGGGTTCCCGATGCTGCGGCGGTGGAGCACGCCCTGGTGGGCGCGGCATCCGGAACCGCGACGCTGGACCAATGGAGAAGTGCGCCGCTGGAGGTGACGGCGTACAACCCGTTTCCAGAGCATGCGAGGCTGGTGTATCGCCCGCGCGCCAGCCCTAGCCACCGGCTTGGCGCCGCTGCGAGCTTGATGGGCTCGCGGTCCTCGACGTTCCACGCCCACAGCTCGCCCGCGTCATCTAGCGCCGCGCCGTGAGCGACGCCAAAGCTCATCGCGATGACGCCTCGGCCTTGCTCGGACCAAAACCTCACATCGACCGGCGAGCGCTTGCGTGACCGCATGTTATTTGCCTGTGCGACGTCCGCGACGTCGCCGCCGTTGTTCAGCGTGGTGGCTGCAGCGCCCGCAGTCGCGGTTGCAGCGGCAGACGAATCGGTGCTGCTGGTCGAACTCGGCACGCAGCGACCCCAGCACCAAAGAGACTGGGGTGCCGCGGCGGCGGCGGCGTCGCGGCGGCGACGACTCAGCTCCAGCCCGCCTAGCGTCGCGCCCACAGCCACGAGGCTTGGTGCTGAGCGCCACATGGACATGAGGGACAGTTCTGACGAAAGAAGAATTTTCGGCCCCGCTAGCACAGGTATACTACGGGAGCCGCCAAGCGACTCCAAAAAAGAATTTCACGAGATTAGCACGGGACTGGGAGAGGTTTGCGCCAGTGAGAAGCTGGAGGCAGGCCGCTAGACTGAGATGAGTCATGAGACCGCCAGCCAGTGGAGTTGGGAGTCCACCGTGCACCGCGCTGCGAGCCTGTCGTGTCCCTTGTCAGGAGCAGGAGAGCCCCAGAGCCCCACCTGTGGCTGTGCCCCTGATCGTCCTTCCAAAACGATCCTGCTCGTGCAGCGTGTGTGTGCGTGTGGGCCCGTCCTCCATGCTTGGAGGTGTGTAAGACTGACTGACTGAGGCTGAGCGATGGCTTCAGATTTCTCAATCATTGTAAAATTCTCAATCAAGACCCCCCTCCCCCCCCCCCCCCTTCACGCAATTGCTTCCCGTTTCTAACTCGTACTCTCTGCAGCTCTGCACGCTTCCCTCCGTTTTAAACAGGTATGTCTTTCCCGCAATTTAACTCCCGTCCTTTTTCTCTGATTTCTGGCCTAGATTTATTATGCAACCCATGAGACCGAATCGGAACAGCGAGCTGAGTCATTGTGCAGAACTGGCCAGGAGGTCAATGTTTGTTCGCCGCGGGGGGATGCATCAATCACCGTGAGCACTGCGCTCGCGCAAGAGTGAGGGCCGGCGCGGGAGAGGCGTATCCAGCCAGACCTAGAAAAGGCTGTACTCTCCGTCTTGCATAGCTTCTCACCCCCTAAACAAATAAAGGTAGCGCCTCGAGGTACCGCAGTGAGTACCGCCCAAAACAGTGCTGCTTTTCGGCCGAAATGGCCTCTTGCTTGACGTCCCGCTCTGGGCTTTCCAGGATGACAGAATTGGCCTTCGCCAGACAGACTGAGGACTATTGTGCGCCTCGGCGAGGCGGTTCCGGACATCCCGATTGCGAGCGCAGTGGACTACATCTTGCCGGTCAGTCAGTAAACTCAGAGAGAGATTTTTAGCAATACCAAACAACTCTGTTAAACTCACCTAAGGAAAACTAGATTTTTTGTGTTTGAAAAAAAACTACGCAGGCGCTGTACTGTAATGCAGAATGCGCTGTGCAGGCGGAGGTGGCACCGAGGCGGTATTATGTGCACGCCCTGCCTCGTTTTGAGCAAAAGCACGGTGAAGTTGGAGACTTGTGTCTTTACGGTTGCTTCTTCCTTGGCCCAGCACCCCCACCCAGCCCCACGCCTTCGGGCGGTCGCGCACTGGCGGCTGAGGGCCAAAAGTAAAACGCTCAACGCCGCTCTCGGCTCTCAGAGAGGCGTTATATCTCAGTAACCCCGCTCGCAGGTACTAGAGCAGCGTTCGTCAAGCTCAAACCCCACTCTGCACAACACAGAGCAGCGTTTGCCTAACAAGACTCCGCTCTGCAACCTTCAGAGCGGACTCTTGCTCAGAAAAACACCGACCGAGCACGTTCGAGCGGAGTCAAGTCAGTGCAACACCGCTCAACATAGCGGGAGCGGTCAATTTCCGCGGAGAGGCTGCTTTCGCCTCCCTCAGTCGCGCTCTCCTCCGCCCCTCCTCTTCAGAGCGGGACTTTGCTGAGTGAACACCGCTCTAGCTGGTCAGAGCAGCGATTGCTTTAAGCTGACACCGCTCTAAATGACGTGAGCGGCGTCGCCCTGAATAGACGCTGCTCTGGGACGCCGGGACGGCGATGCCACCTGACGCCGACGGCGGATCCACGATCGCTCGTGGCGCGCGGCGCGGCGTGGCGAGCCCCGCCCCTGGGGTTGAGCGCGTGTGGGTGGGTCGTCACTGCTCCGAGTAGTCAGAGCGGCGTCGCGTTTAGTGATACGCCGCTCACGCCATTTAGAGCGGTGTCAGCTTAAAGCAATCGCTGCTCTTACTAGCTAGAGCGGTGTTCACTCAGCAAAGTCCCGCTCTGAAGAGGAGGAGCGAAGGAGAGCGCGACTGAGGGAGGCGAAAGCAGCCTCTCCGCGGAAATTGACCGCTCCCGCTATGTTGAGCGGTGTTGCACTGACTTGACTCCGCTCGAACGTGTTTGGTCGGTGTTTTTCTGAGCAAGAGTCCGCTCTGAAGGTTGCAGAGCGGAGTCTTGTTAGGCAAACGCTGCTCTGTGTTGTGTAGAGTGGGGTTTGAGCTTGACGAATGCTGCTCTAGTACCTGCGAGCGGGGTTACTGAGATATAACGCCTCTCTGAGAGACGAGAGCGGCGTTGAGCGTTTTACTTTTGGCCCTCAGCCCGCACTGGCTGCCAACACGGCGCTCAACTCTTGCGCGACCCGAAGCCGGCGACGAGCTCGACGACGAGCGGAGCCGACAACGATCCAAGCCGACGACGCGCTCGACGACGAGCGTTAGCACACTCCGTCGGCGATGGCCTCCTCCGAAAAGCAGGTGGCCTTTGTAGGTCTTGGTGCGATGGGCGCGCACCTGGCGCGGCACCTGCACACCCTCTCTCTGGCGCAAAGCGGCCGGCCTGCTCTCGTGTGGAACCGCACGGCCGAGAAGGCGCTGCAGCACGCAGAGGCGCATGGCACCGTCGCAGCGTCCACGCTGGACGAGCTCCAAGCCGCGAGCGTCGTCTGCCTCTGCCTGCCAACGACGGCACATGTGAAAGAGGTGCTCAACCAGGTGCCGCTGCAGCCGGGGTCGCTGGTGATAGACTGCACGTCGGGCGACCCCGAGCAGACCAGTGCGCTCGCGGCGCAGCTCGCCACCCGGGGTATCCGTTTTGTTGATGCACCAGTCAGCGGCGGACCGAAGGGGGCGGCCGCGGGCAGTGTCACCTCGATGGTGGGCGGCTCTCCGGCCGACGTGGCCGATGCATCCGTCTTCATCGAAGCCTGGTCAAAGAAGGTGGTGCACTGCGGCCCTGTCGGCGCGGGCGATGCGACCAAGTCGATCAACAACGTGCTGAACTCGGCGCATCTGCTGCTGGCGACCGAGGGCATGCTCGCCCTCAAGAAGTACGGCGTCCAGCCGTCAACCGCGCTCGAGGCGATCAACGGCGGCTCGGGCATGTCGCTGCAGACGACGCGGCTGCCCGACAATGTGCTCTCGCGCAAGTTTGCGTACGGGTTCGCCCTCGGGCTGATGCGCAAGGACTGCAAGATCGCGGGGGGCCTCGTCGCGAGCCAGACGCCGAGCGCCACCCTCATCCCGCGCGTCGTCGACCTCCTTGGCGAGGCGGAGGCCGCCTTCGGCCCCGATGCGGACTACACGCAGATCGCGCAGCTGCTCGAGGACCGCGCGGGCGTGACTCTCGGCTAAAGAAGAGATGTGCATGCTTTGCAGTGGTTCCCACGCTCGAGCCGTAGAAGCGTTTCTGTACCTTAGCCAAGACGGCGCCAACTTGCCAAAAAAACTCTTGACTCTCACTTTCCTTGCGCGTAGCCGCCGCTGCTGGCGAGCCGGCGGCAGTGGCCGCGTGCCGCGGCACCGCGCGCGTCCGGACGCGTCGGCCGTCGCTGGGCGTGCCGCTCTGGCGCGCCGGCCGGAGGCTGTCGTGGTGGTGGACATGACGGATCTGGGCACAGTGATGACACTGCGGCTCACCGGCAATTGCGCACCAGCCTTGGCCGCGCAGCGAAGAAATTGGGTCGTTGGAAGCTCTCAGACGCACTCTTTCCAAGGAAAAATGAGGTGTCAGGCATCGGGCCGTCCAAGATCGGGACCCATACCTCTCGTGGTTCGCGCAAATCCACTGTCGACTGATTTTGGTGACGGGTCAGGTCCCACCACGGATTAAGAAATTAGCACCGCCGGCGCCAGAGGCCGGAAGAAGTGCTAAGAAATGAGCGGCGGACGAGCGATCCGTGTCGCTTTCTTAATGCCCGAGCACCGCGGGTGCGGGCCGCAGGCCCGCACCCTCCAGCACCGTAGCATTATGGTGATTTAGGGTTAGCCACACCGGCACTCTAGGTGCACAGCACCGCACCACACCGTTCGCGCCAGGCAGCAAGGTGATCGCTGCCGCCAGACCGAAGATCGCGCGCGCGTCGTGAGTGGCGGCGCGCGCGCGATCTCCGTTCCCGGGCACGCCGGTCGCAGTGGCATGGGCTCCCAGGCTCAAAAGCGCTCCCGTCAACAGCGAGCGAGCGCCGCCGCTGCTCCTCCTCCCGCCGCCGCTCACCGAGACTCGGTGCCGCCGTTCGCCACCGCCGCCGCCGCCGCCGCCGCCGCCGCCGCCTCGCGCCTCGCCTCCGTCACCGCCGCCCTCCATCTCGCAGCGGCGCGTCCCTCTGATGGCGCGGGCGCCTCGCTCACCGGCGCCTCGCCGCCGCCCCCCCCCCTTCTTGCGCCGCTCCGCTCGTGGCCGCCGCCTCCCCTGTCAATCCCGCCGCCTCCCCTGTCATCCCGCCGCCCGCACCACCGCCGCCACCGCCTCGCGCCTCGCCGCCGCCGCCACCGACCGCCCTCCCCTGTGCCGCTGAGCGCGGTGCAGGGGGCGAGCCCCCGCTGCGCAGCCTCACCGCAGTGCACTGCGCTCTCCGCGCCCCTGACGATTAGTGAGGAGGTGGTGTTGCACAGCATGGAGCTCGGCGAGCGTTTAGCGAGCCCCGCAGCTAGTATGATTAAAAAGCACGATTCTGAAGTTGGCCTCTGACTCCCTCCATGATCGGTGGCCGCAAATTGGCTGCGATCATGTCTCCGATGCCTCGGCTCGCTCCGCGCATGGCGCCTGTGCGGCGCGCCCTCGCGACGCACCGCGTGCTACGCGACTTCTCTGCCGCGGCGCTCAATCACGATGCCATGACTGGCTCTTCTTACGAGAACTGTGAGCCCTCCCACCCGTCCCGCGCCCTGATGCTCCCTGCATCTGCACTAACAGGGATGCCTTCTCTCTCGTTGCAGACAGCGTCACGTCGCAGACGTACGACTCGTTCCGCAAGCCGATCAGCCTCGACTTGTTCCGCGATGCTTTCGGCACCGTTGCCGAGCGGCTGTCCAAGCCAACGAAGAAGCTCGATCTCCTCGATGCCGGATGCGGCTCGGGAAACTACCTCGACGCGGTCAAGGACGACGTGGGCTCCATTGCCGGGCTCGAATTCAACGAAGGCATGATTGGCAAGGCGGTCGCGAAGCTGCCGTCCGCGGACATTCAGCAGGGATCCATCACGTCGATGCCCTATGCGGCCGCGTCCTTCGACGTCATCATCACTACGCAAGTGCTCCATCACCTGGAGAAGGGCGGCGGCCAGGAATTTTCCAACGTCGCCCTCGCCGCTCAGGAGGTCTTTCGCTGCCTGCGCCCCGGTGGAGCGTGGGTCGTGCAGACGCAGACACCCGAGCAGCACCTTGACGGCTTCTGGTGGGCACCCGTCGTGCCGGATGCCGCGCTGACCCTGTCGAAGCACTTCGCGCCACTGCCGAAGTTCGAGTCGATCTGCCGCAGCGCCGGCTTTGGCGACTTCTCGAGCGCGATCCCACCAGAGCCGCTTGTGCGCCTCGACAAGTACCTGGACATAGAGGGGCCGTTCAACCAGGCGTTCCGTAACGCCGATAGCACCTGGAGCCTCGCCACCGAAGACGAGCTGAAGACGGGGCTCGCAATGCTACGCGCGAAGATCGACGCTGGCGAGGCAGCCGCGTGGCAGGCCGAGCGCGAGGCGCTCCGCGCGAAGATCGGACAGACGACCACCGTGGTGGCGACGAAGCCAATGGTGTAGAAGCTAGGGAGCGACCGGACTCCACAACGACATTTTGTAACGTAGAAGTCTGCCAGGAGTGTAGACGAGTTCAAACCAGCAAGGCGCTTTCATTGAGCTGGCATACAACACTCACACACTCACTACTCGTCTTCAATGCTCTAATCTGTTACGGTCTGGTCGCGAGGGTCCTCTCTGTGGCAGCTCTCCGCGTTGTGCAGTCCTGCGCTGGACTCCTCCTCGCGCCCGTGTGGGAGAGAAAGGCGCTCCAACCGAAGAGCGCGACTTGTGCAGGCAGCACGCGGTGACGGAAAGGAACCAGGTAGAAGTTCAGCGTGTGGAACGGCACCCAGAAGCTCCAGTGTGTGACGACCATCGGCAAAAGCCTCACCGGCCGCGACGGGCTCGGGCTCGCGTCGCACAACGGCCTCCTGTACGCCGTGGGTTACAACGCCGGCAGCGGCGGCAGCAGCTTCACCACACTCAGCTCGGTCGACGCTTGTCATCTCGAGCTCTGTGATGCGTCAGAGGTCCATTGCCTCCTCGCGCCCACCGCCCATGTAGGCTCGCTCGAGATGGCTCACAAGCCTCACAGGTGGCCACGAGGCCTCGAAGGTGGCTGTCAAGCCTCGGCTTACCCAGACACGCCTCTAGCACCCTTTGGCGTACCGCTGGTCGCCACAGCGGTCGCCTCTTTGTGTTCGCCACGATGGGGTCGTCACACATTGTGGACGCCCGACTGTGTGGACGCCATGGCGCGGCCTTGGCCTCACACCATGGACGCCACTGTGGGGCTCGCCTGGCGTTCTCGCCCGGTCGGCACCCTTGTGTCGGGACGCCACGTCGTGATCTCGCCCCTTGTGGTCGACACTGAGGTCGCCAACTGTGGACGCCAGCAGCTTACCTTTGGTTTGCTATTGGCATGCCTCTGGCTTGCCTCTGGAGGACTCGGTCATCCGTCCTCGGACAGCTCCACCTCAGGCCCAATGCCTTGGCGGCGGCGGGTTGGGGAGCTGTCTCTCTGGGCGTCACGTTGCATACTGTCTTGCACGTGGCCCCAGTGGAGGTCTGCCCATGTGGGCCGGCCTCTTCCATGCCGCACCAGTACGGTTCCTGAGCTGCCTGCATTGCAATCGACATTGCGGCGGCATGCGGCGGCATTGTGACGGAACGTTTGGTTGCGGCGGAACGTCGGCTCGAAAGGCCCATCGCCGACGATATGATGCGCCTGTCCCACTGGCGTGGGATCAGGGCGAGATGTCATCACGCGAGATTGCGCACGACTCGGACGATGGGGTTGAGCAAGCAGCCCGAAGCTGCGAGCCGACGGCGACGCGTGCTTTCGTTGGATCGCACGTTTTGTTATCCTTGCTGTCCCCCTCTCCTCACGTTGAAGGATAACCTACATAGCCGCTGCGCGGCTATCTCCGAAAAGCCGCGCAGCAATGGACCGAGGAAGATGAGAACCCACCTAGAGCGACAATGGCGCACGTGCTCAGCGGCGCCTGCCTGGGGAATAGGGAGCAGGCCAGATGGTTCCTCAGAGTAGCGCGAGCGCAGACAGGGACGGCGATCAGCAAAGTGGCACAGGCGGCACGTAGCTGGGTGCGGTGGTGCGGTGGGGGAGTCTCTGGTGTTTTTTGGTTACAAATGTACGGATTTACGGATTTACGGATCGACGCCCCTCCCTCCCCGTCCCGCGGCCCGGCCGTGAGAGACGCGCATCTACGAAGCAAGTTGGTGCCGGCTACAGGCATGTGCGAGTGCGCGCGAGTGCGGCCGTAGACGATGATGGCACCGGGAGCCTCGGGGCAGCCCAGTGAGCGTCGCCGCCGCCATTCATGAAACTCATAACCGTGGCCCAGCCACCGATATGAGATCGGCTCGTCGGGCCACCCCTCGCCCCCTTGTCACAACAAAGGAACCCACCACCCTCGCCCAGGGATCTACAATGCTGTCCTAAGGTCCGACCTGTGGGCTCCGGCCTGCGCTCGGCACCGGGCACCGCCTCGGTATACAAAATGCGCCTGCGGGCGGACCCTCACAGATCACAGATCACAACAAAGGAACGAAGGCAGGCGAAAACGCATGGTGGTGGTGGTGGGGGGGGGGGGTACTACAGAGCCGACGGCTCATATGTGTAGTCAGCGATCGATGCAACCGCACCTTAAACTCCCCCCGCGGTGGGGGCGCGCGGCGAGAGGGCGGCTCAGAGGGGGGGAGGGCGAGAGCAAGGGGAGCCGTGTGTCATTTCCTGCCGCGATGCGGCTCTCTCCCCAGCAATAACTTTTTTTGAGCTAGCCTTCGATGTAATGAGACAAACTCTTTGGATTTTGGGGGAAACCAAGCCCTGCTGAGACCAACCTCGCTGTACACGGTCTAGCCGCCTTCGACGTTCGAGCCGGCGCGCGGCGGCGGCGCGGGCCACACGCAGAATGAGCCCCCCCCCCCCCCCCTCCGCAGGAGAAAGCAGCAATCAGGGAGGACGAGACCTAGGCTAGTCGTCGCCCCACAACAGACCCTGCACTGGTGGGGCAAGCTAGCTAGAGGGGCGACCCGCGCGACTCCAAATCTAAAGGACAGGAGCCCCACGGCGTGGGGACCCTGTCTCCTCCCCCATCCCTCGTTTGGGTTGCGGTTGTCTTTCTTTATTTTCGAGAGGTTTGGGGACTGGCCACAAAAAAATCTTTGACCCACCATTCCACCATGCACCAACCGCACCCAGGAGCTTTCTCTAAAATTTTTCTAGAAAATGTCGCACGACGCACGTGTGTTACCGGGCCTCGAACGGGTTGCCCTGCGTGTAGTTGGACAGGTCCATGTGCCCGTCGCTCGCGCTGGCGATGGCGCACCCCGCGCCAGGCCCAGCACGTGGCGTGTCGTCCTCCTCGCTCCAGAACGAGTGCCAAAAGTGTCCCGAGTCTGCCGACCGCGGCTGCAGCACGGTGCGTGGGTCCGAGAAGGTCTTGAAGATAAACCGTGCAGGCTCGGACCAGCCACAGTCCGCAGTCCCACAGTTGACCGTTAGCGACGTGCAGCGACTGTCGGCGGAGCAGATGCGCTTCGCCTCCGTGAGCGTGGTCTCCTTGGAGTACAGCTCAAAGTCCGCCGGAAGGTAGCCGTCCCCTCGCACCCATTTGCGTGGCACCTGTACACGCGGCGGTTAGTGAGGCGCGCGCACAAAACTGGGCCGGGATCGTGCGGCAAGCCTCGATCTTTGGACAGCCGTCCACCCCGCAGAAGCGCCAGTACACCGTGTAGGTCTCGTCGACCATCTCGTTGAGCGGCCACATGAGCACGCCCTGCCCGCGCGCGCCGCGCGCCCAGAAGGAGCACGGCGGGTACTCCGCCGCGCTCGGCCTCTTCTCGAGCTCGAGCGCTTGCGCCGTGCCGTTGACGAGCGCCAAACGCTCCGCAGCCCGGGGCGCGCTATTCGCGCCGGCCGGCCCAGACACCGCTCCAATGAACCACCCGGGCCACCCCGCCGGCTCCAACCGCAACCTGCTGCCGGCCAGCGCGTGCAACCGCCAGCCATGAGGCGATGAGCCGCGCCTTGGCACCTCAAGCCTGAGGGCACCGGCCGCAGACGGGGCGACAAATCGGCCTGGGAGCGCAAACGCCTCGAGCGCTACCTCTCCGTTGGCTCGTGGCACAGCGCGAAAAGTCGCGGCGTTTGCGGCATCGGAGCCTCCGCGCCGCCGATTCGAGAAGCCAGGCTCGGTGAGCCTTCGCAGCTCGACTGCGCTCTGCCCAAGCACAGAGAGGAATTCGCCGCTCTCGGCGGCCCGCAAGCTGATGAGCTGGCCGCGCGCGTCCGCGGGGACGGGCACAATCGCGTCGTCGAGGCGCTCGCGCCTACGCCCCGGAGCATGCGACGGTGAGGGGCGCGCCGACGGGCGCGCGAAAAGGTAGACGTGCGCCACCGTCCGTGCAACTCGGACTGCCCAGACGTCGTCAGGCCGGCGAGCACGAGCGGGCCGTACAGCAGCGCTGTCATCTCCTTGTACTGGCAGCGTGGGTCCTTGAGCGGCTCAACGTGCAGCGCGGCGGGCAGAGAGAGACGTACGCTCACCTCCTCGCCAGTCCGCACAGGCGGCGTCAGCTCGAAGCTCCAAAAGTCCACATTGAGATCGGTACTGCCCGCCGCCACCGCGCCACTCACCGAGCCACGAAGCCCTCCGTCGCCGCCACCGTCACGCAAGGCGGCAGCGGCGGCCGCAGCGCGTGCCCATCGCGGTATGCGGAGCTTCAGCCGCAGGGAGGACGGCAGCCCAGCGGCGTCCGATGCGCCGTGTCGCTCAGGAGACGCGAGTTGGAGGGGCGTGAGGGTGAGGGTTGCGTTGCACGGAGTGCCGCTCGGCACATCGAGCGCCCCGTTGGCGGTGAGAGTCGCACGGACGCGCTGTTCCGGCCAGACCAGCTCGGTTGGGACGAGCGAGACCAGCCAGAGATCGGCGGGCGACCCTGGGCCGCCAGAGGCGGCGGCGGCGGCGGCGGTGACAGGAGGGGCGAAGAAGAAGGTTGCCTCCTGTAACTTTGCATGGGCCTCGATGCCGGTCCCCATGCAGCAGCTGAAGTACTGGGTGGGGTGGGACCAGCCGCTAGTGCCGAGGTTGATGCCCGCCTCCTTCTTGCTGACCCCTGTGCCGAGGGGGTAGAAATAGAGCATCTGCCCTGGCTGCGTGCCACGCTGAGTGCCGAGCACGCCATTCAGCTGCAGCCGCTCGATGAAGTCTGCGTACTGCGGCTGCCGCGTTGACCGGAAGAGGTCGATGGCGAGCCGCAACGTATTGTGCGTCACGCACGACTCCTGGTGCACCGTTCCGAATGGCGGCGGGCCGAGCAGGTGGCCCAGCTTGTTGGGCGAGCCCCAATTTTCGTGGTGGGAGGAGCCGCCGGTCGCAAACGTGCGCGTCGTGTTGAGGAGGTCGAGAAAGTTCTCAGCGAGGAGGCGGAAGACGGGCTCACCAGTCACCTCATGCCGATGCAGCGCCCCGATGGCGATGGGCACGTGCGTGTTCGCGTGCATTTTTGACAGTCGATCCTCGTGGGTTGCTTGTGGCGAAAGGAAGCAAGGCTTGTCGAATAGAGAGGCCCACCGACGGTGCTCGGGCCGGCCGGTGATGGCCGCCAGCTGCCATAGCACGTCATTCATCCCGCCGTACTCCATATTCAAAGTCGCCCAGTGGTGGGTCAGCCCCGAGGTGGATAGCACTCGCTCTAGGCGGCCGCCCACGTACGCCGCGAGGCCGATGGCGAGCTGCAGCGCGAGAGAGGAGCCGGCGATCGTGTACTGGTCGAGCAGCCCCTGCAACACCTTGTGAAGCGTGTAGTAGGGCGCCCAGACGGGCTCGATGCGCTCGAACCGATCGAGCAGCGACTCTGGAAAGGCAGAGAGGTAGCCCCCGCCCAGGCGCGCAGCGACTTCGGCCATGGCGGAGACGACGTACCGCATCCGACCATCGAGAACGGAGTGGTTTGTTGAAGCCCAGGTCATTGCGCACGCAGACAGATAGTGGCCGAGGAAGTGGCCCCGCAGCTCCATGTGCGGCGCCTCCCAGCCGCCGGCGGGTCTGCCCTTCGGATGCTCGCCCGCATTGCGCCTCCACGCCCACAGCAGGGTGTCGGGGTCGATGGAGAGGAGGTAATTCAGGTTGACCTGCATCGAGGCCCACTGTGCACTGCCCGCGAGCAGCCGCAGTCGCCGCAGGGAGAACTGCTGCAGCGTCGCGGTTGGTGGTTCCGGCAGGCCCTGATACGGCGAGTGCAAGTTTATGGCATGCAACTCGGTGTACTTGGCGCCCGCCTTGCCGAAGCCCGGTCCAGAGTACAGCGGACACGCTATCGTCGTGCCTGCTGCGGGCTCTGTTTGCCGTGGCAGCGCCACCTCTCGCTGCCGCCGTGACTGCGCAGCCAACTCCTCTTCCGTTGCCTTACGAAGAGCAGCGGCTGGTCGCCGCATGTGCCGCTCCAGGCTGAAGAGAAAGACGAAACACAACCCGATGAGAACGGCGAGAAGGAGCACTGTCGACCTCGGCGGCCCGCGTCTCGCGGCCATCTCTACTTGTCCACTCGATCACCGGTCGGGAGCTCAGTCTTGCGGGCGCTCTGCAGCTGCCTGGATCAGTAGCTTCCCGCACCAGCGCTGAGATTGCTCGGTCGAGCCAGCGCGTCAAAAGAATTTTACGACCCAACTCCTCGCTCAAAAGAATTTGAGCTGCTTTTCTTTCTTTCTTTCTTTAGAATTTGAGCTTCTCAGTGCCGGCAAAAAGCAAAAGAATTTGAGCTCCACTGCCTCAAAGCAAAAGAATACCTTCCGGTATTTATACCGGTAGGAAGGCGTGTGGCGAATACAAAGATTCAAAGTGGATCCGCCCGCCCGCCCGCCCGCGCTCCCACCTGCTGGCCCATGCAGCGCGACACCGCCTCCGCTCCTTGTTTGGTGTGTCCGTTTTATTTAGTTATTTAGCAGACTAGCACCACAAAAGGCTTTTCGGAAAAGGCACAGCAAAAGAAAACAACAACCTGGCGTCGCCTTCGCGCTGCTCGCTCTCGCTCGCGCTGCGCTCGCTCTACGCTCTTGTTGCTCGCGCTGCGCTGACTGAGGGCTGTGCTTTGTCTCGGTCGGGACTCGGCCCGTTTGAACTGATCTCGGCGTTCCAGAGAGAGATTTGTGTTTTGTATGTTTGGTTGTTATGTTTGTGAAAATTCTCTTTGTGAAAAATCATCCATAGCGGCGCTGTTGATGCACACCAGCATGATGCTCAGCTCGATCCTCCTGTGCGCTTCCACCACTCGACCACGGCGTCCTGCTCCGCAAAGGCAGGTGGGTGGGAACAGGTTCGGGATTTTTCTTCTTAGGCTCTTCATAATGCCGCTGCTGATGCACATGTTGCTCAGCTCGATCCTGTGCGCTTCCACCACTGGCCTCCAGCCGTCGCGCATCCGGAGCCCACCCATGTCGATGGTCCTCAACGAACGTGCACCGTCGGTCGCCCGCAAAGCCCGACAGGAATTTGCAGCAGCGGTGTCCGAAGTCCAAGCTCTCACAAAGCCGAGCACGCCACTCGAGACGCAGCAGCGACAGTTGATAGATCTGCTGATCGCTCAAGTGTCGGCCAATGACAAAGGATTTGCCGACGAGGTGGCCGACTTGGACAAACGCGGCCGCATGGCCCTCGAGCACCTGGACCGCCGCGATGCGCTTGCAGTGAGCCTGGCCACCGCAAAGGAGGCGGTCGCGGCGGCAGAGGCGGAGGCGGGCCCTCTGCGCGAGGAGTGTGCCGCCCTGGAGCGAGCCAAGGAGAGCTCCGAGCGGACGCTCGTCTCACTCCCCGGAGAGATTGCCTCGCTGCGCGACTCGGCGGAGACGCTCGAGGCGGAGCTGGCCGAGCTGCGGCCAGCGATCGCGATCTTCACGGACGAGCAGGCGGACCTGCTGGCGAGAAAGGAGGGCCTCACCGCTGAGCTCACCGATGCAACCTCCGAGCACCGCTCTCGGTGCGCCGCGCTCGAGGAGGCGCGCAGTCGCGTGGCGGAGCTGTCGGCAGAGCTGCAGTCTACGAGCGCCGCCCTCGCGGCGAGCGACGCGGAGCTGGCCAAGCTGGCGCGGGAGAAGGAGGCGCGTGGCGGCAGCACCCTGTAGCCTGCAGCGAGAGCGTCCTCACGCGGACAGCGTTGTCGCTGCAGGAGACGGCCGCCGCGCTCGAGCCGCTGCCGGAGCGGCTCGAGCTTGCGCGCTCCGAGGCGGCTGAGGCGGCGGAGAGCCTGGCTGCGCTGCAGGAGCGGCGCGAGGCGATGTCGTCCGAGCTAGAGGAGGAGAGCGCCGCGCTGACATCGCGGCTGGCCGCCTACGAGGCCCGCGCCTGCAGCGCACGTCCTCCCTCAGAGCTAGCTCGCGCCCTCTCTTCCCTCGCACCTCACGCCCCCTCTTCCCTCGCACCTCACGCTCCCTCTTCCCTCGCACCTCACGCCCCCTCTTCTCTCGCACCTCACGACCCTTCACACCTCTCCTCCCTCCCTCAGTCGGAGCGCGAGGCCCTTCGCATCGCGCGCCTCGAGCTCGCCCGCGTGCGCAAGGAGCGCAACGTAGTCGCCGAGGAGTCCGCTGCCGCGACGCAAGAGGCTGCCGACAGCGAGGAGCTGGCCAAGGCGCTGCGAAAAGAGATTGAGACCCTCAAAACGGAGGCCCCGGCGCTCGAGGCCAGGCGCGCGCACGCCACTTCCGCGCTCGAAGAGGCCCTCGCCGCGGTCGAGCTCTTCGAGAATGGCGCGACGGCGAGCTCACCGCGCCCTCCGCTCCCACCGCCTCACGCCACGGGGGGGGGGGGGGGGGGCGAAGGCGCGGCTGCTCTTGTTGTCGCGTAGGCGGCCTCTCTCTTCCCGGAGGACTCGCCCGAGCCCGACGCGTCTGCCGCCGCCGGGCAAGGCGAGGACGCGGGCGGGGGCGCGAGCGCGCGCATGGCGGCGGTGTTGGACGAGCGGATCGAAGATACCGGGCGGCAGCTCGCCGCGTCGGTCGCCGACATGGACGACCGCATCGAGGCGCTGGGCGACTTTTCGGAGACGGTCCGCACGGCGATGGAGGCGGCGGCGGCGCGGCGCGAGAGCGCGCAGCGCTCGCTGGAGCAGCTGGCCGTGGAGCAGCGGCGCGCGTCGGAGGAGATGAAGCTGCAGCTCGAGTCTGCCCTCGCCGCCATGGAGGAGATGCAGAGTCAGTGGGACGGCGCCGTCGACTCGAATGCCGTGGAGGTCCGCCGACTCAAGGCGGCCGCGTCTCAGGTGATACGCACCCGACCCCAACCAGCCTTGTAAGCCCCGACCCACCCACCCACCACCACCACCACCACAGACCCACGAAACGCACACTCACGCCGCACGCCGCACGCCACCACGACCGCCTCGAACGACCGCCTCCCCGCCTCGCAGGCTGCGGAGGTGCGGGGCGAGGCCACGGCCGCGCTCGACCGCAAGCGCACCGCCATCGAGTCCGAGGCGCAGGCGCTGAGCTCGCTGTCGGCCACGCGGCGTGGCTTGGCCGAGGAGGAGGCCGCGCTGCGCAAGCGGTACGTGGCGCTACGGCAGAGGTGCGCTCCCTGAGAGCAGAGGGCGCCCCTCGCACCCGCCCACCCCCCAGCCCCCCCCGCGACGCTGGCTCGTGCGAGTGTAGGCGTCTGGCCAAGCTCAAGCAAGGCGGCGCCGGCCGCCCTTTCCCCGCCGCGCCGGTCGAGTGGAGCCGGCCGTGCCCCCCCCCCCAAGGCATATGCACCCTCTGACGCAGCCGCTTCCGCGAGTAGGTTGACCTTGAGGAGGTTGCAGAGGTGGCGGGCGCCAACGCCGAGAAGGCGGCGGCAGCGCTGCTGCGCTTCTTCTCCAGCGACAAGGCGGGCGACGGGAAGGAGCCGCCAGTCATGGGCAGTGGCGCAGAGTCGTCGGAGTGAGACGACGTTGAGCACGATGCCGCGGGCCGAAGCGCGGTTTGCATATAGCTTCAACGCACGCTCGGTTTGTTCTTTTATGTACCGTACTAACTTAGAGGGAATATTGATGTGAGACGACGGAGCCGCGTCATGAGCAGTTTCTGAGAGTCATACACACGTTATCCCTTGTGCCTCTTGACACTCACTATACACACTAGACACTATAATAGGGACTATACACAGTCACAGTGTGCTTTGTGGAGCGACACGACAGTGCTACACCCTACACCAACAGGGGCAAAGCGACTGCCTTCTCCAGGTAGGCTTGCTGCTCATTGATCGTTAAGCCGTCCCACTCGTAGAATGGAACGCTGATCACCCTCCAGCCAGCCGCCGCGAGGAGGCGCCGCTTGAGCCTCGGTGGGGGGAGGCGGGGGCCCCCGGAGGCACCGTGCGCCGCGCAGCAGTGCGGAAACGGTCCGGCTCCGTTAGTCTCCGTTAGTACCGACTTCCCGAATGATTACGGTTGATTAGAGGGCAGATTCGGAAGGATCTCGAGGAGTACAACAGTACATGCAGATAGACCCTCCAACCATGAGAAAACTCCGACCTGATTGGTCGTACTGACCGCCGACAGATCACTCCAGACAGCAGACAGGCCGACGTCTGCACGCGGCCGGCCGGGCGAGAGGCTTGACATGATCCGACCCTGCGACCCTGACGCTGCTGCTCTAGCTATCAGACAACTGCTGACTGCTGCCACAATGTGTGACCGGTGCTGGCCCACTATGGCCTTCCCGGTCAGTGGTGAGGCGCAGTTCAGAGCTGTCGATGGCGCGCTAATCTAAAGAGGTCGGCGACGGCCGACGCCGCGCCTCTTCACACCTCTCTGTTCACAGCATCACAGGTCGCCTCTGGCGCCTGTTCAGCGCACTAGCCCGTCACGCCAAGCGCTAGGGCAATGCGCGATGAGGATCGAGAGCGTTGCGCAGCCACGCCAGCGTCCTCGACGCGCTAATCTAGAGAGATCGGCGACGGCCGACGCCGCGCCTCTTCACACCTCTCTGTTCACAGGTCGCCTCTGGCGCCTGTTCAGCGCACTAGCCCGTCACGCCAAGCGCTAGGGCAATGCGCGATGAGGATCGAGAGCGTTGCGCAGCCACGCCAGCGTCCTCGACGCTAACCTAGAGAGGTCGGCGACGGCCGACGCCGCGCCTCATCACACCTCTCTGTTCACGGGTCGCCTCTGGCACCTGTTCGGCCCGCACTAGCCCGTCACGCCAAGCGCGGGCACGCTTGAGCACGTCCACCGTCGAGAGCGCCCTGCGGCGTCGTCACGAGCACCTGATGAACCCACTCTTTCGCCTCCTCGGCCTCAGTCGAGCGATCATCCTCTACGTCGATCCTACAGGCTACGAGCGCGGCCGTGTGCTCGAGACGTGTGCGGCACGTCATTTCCACGTTGTGGAGGTGTTTTCGCCTCCGTTTGCGTCGCGATTCAGCGGAGAGGTCGAGGGCGTGCTTGCCGCTCCAGCTGCTGGCGAGGAGTGCACATGGGCGGAAACATTAACAGGACGGCGCGGGCGCATCGTCGCCGTGTGCTGTGGCAGCGACGACGGCCTCGCCACCGCAGAGCGGCTGGCAGCGGCATTAACGCCTCGTTGCTCCAATGGTATCAACGTCGCTCGACGCGACAAGTACCTCATGCACGAGGCGCTGCGAGCGGCGGGGCTACGTGCCGCACAGCAGCGTGTCGTCTCGCGTTGGGAGGAGGAGGGAGAGCCGTTCGTGCGAGAGCTGCTTGCGGCGCCATTGGAGCGCGGGGTCGTGTGCAAGCCCCGACGAGGGCAAGCCTCGATCAGGGTCAGCCTTGCGGACAGTGTGGCTACGGCGGGGCGGCAGTGTCGGGCGCTACTCGCCGCTCCCGTCGCGCTGCTCCGGGGCGACGACGAGGCCGGCTCGCCCTCCGTGCTGCTGCAGGAGGAGCTTCGAGGGCGGGAGTGGGTGGTCGACAGCGTGAGCCGGGACGGGGAGCACAAGGTGGTCGCCCTCTGGCGCTACTCCAAGGCGAGCTTGAACGGCGCGCCCTTTGTCAACCTGTGCGACGAACTGCGGCCGGCAAACGACGCCGACGACGAGGCGCTGATGGAGTACGCGCGGCGTGTCCTCGACGCGCTAGGCGTGAGATGGGGCCCCGCCCACCTGGAGATCAAGCGGCCCGCGTCCGGGCCGGTGCTGGTCGAGGCGAACGTCGGCCGGTGGAACGGGGTCGACTTCAAGCTGCTCGCAGACGCATGCCTCGGATACAACGCCTACGAGGCAACTCTGGACGCCTTCACCGACCGCCGCCGCTGGGAGGCGTTGCCAGCGACGCCGCCTCCGGCGCTAGGTGGCGCCGGCCGGTGAGAAGCTTGTGGAAGCTTGTGCCGCTCTCACTCCAGACATCAGCAACCCTCCAACCGCCGGTCCGTGTCTCACAGGCTCGTCAAGCTCGTCTCGAGCGTCGAGGGAGAGCTCCGCGCGCTGAGGCGATGGGTCCCCGTCACACACCACCCGCCACCCTTTCCCCCAACACCCGTCCACCACTTCCCGTCCGCAGGCACGCCGAAGAGTTGGCCGAGCTGCCCTCGCTGGTGCGGTTCGAGACCGAGGCCACCGATCCAGGCGACCGGGTCAAGCGGACTGTCGACCTCGACACATGCGCCGGCTTGGCCGTGCTCCTCCACGCGGACGCCGCGCAAGTCGAGGCCGACTACGCGCGGCTGAGGGCGCTGCAGCCGACACTGTTCGAGGTGGAGTCTGTGGAGACCGGGGACGGGGTGGCATGAGCCGGAGACGGAAGGCGGTGGGCCGCCCGCGCTCGAATGCGGGGCACGCGCGAGAGAGAGAGAGCCGGGCGGTGTATGGCATGGCGGTGCGGAGCGGGCGATTTTGGCGGTCGCCGGGTCCGCGCCGCGGCCCGCGGGTCTCCGCGCGCGTACGTTGAGATCATGACGTCCATGATAACGTCTCAGGATCGGAGGCCCCGAGTCCCTGCCCTTTTTCGTAACAGGCACTTTCTCAATAATTAGCACAGACATACTGTGCGGTGCCCGGTGCCGAACGCTGTCGGACCTTAAGACAGCATTGTAGATCCCTGGGCGAGGGTGGTGGAGAGGGCGGTCCGGCGGCGGAGGAGCGGCAGCAAGGGGAGAGCAGACGGTCGCGATCCGCGCGAGCGAACATCGCGCACGCGGTCAGGAGCAGCAGCGCGACTTTCATCTCGGGGCATCTGTGGAGGGCACGGTGGCGGCGGTGTGATCGGTGGCAATGTGTGAGAGCCTTCGGCGAGAGCCAGTGCTTTGTGTGCGCCTGTCAACTAGCCCAACAGCCCCTGTAGGTAGGTTTGCCTCTCATTGGCCGTCGCGAAGCCGTCCCAACTCGTAGAATGGAACGCTGATCACCCGCCAGCCAGCCGCCGCGAGGAGGCGCCGCTTGAGCAGCGTCGGCCCGTTGGGTTTGCGCACGCCCCGGCCGTCGGGCAGCAGGAAATGAAAGGGGCCGTCCACCTCAATCGCGATGCGTGATGAGGGAAACGCCAGGTCGAGAGAGTAGCCGGTGCGCGGTTCGAGATGCTCCTCCTCAAAGCCCGGGCCCCACACGGCGGCGAGGACAGCTGCAACCGAGCGCTGCAAGCCTGACGTCCGAGCTATGGTCGCCACCATAGCGTCGCAGCAACGCTGGCGCTCAGAGGCGGGGAGGAGGTGCTGCTGCCCGTCTGCTCCTCGCTCCAGAGAAAGCCAGAGCTGCCACTGGTGAAGCTGAACGCGGTTCCCGACGCTCCACGTTGACGGATCCCGCGCGAGCGAGTCGCTGATTACGCGCGAGCAGTCGGCAAGCAGCGCCTGGTGATAATGGTCTGCCGTCGCAAACCCCCACACCGTGTTGGCCAGCCCCTGAGGGGTGAAGCCCGCCAGCCCGCCGCGCACCGCCGCCTCCGCCACCGCCGCAAAGAGCGCCTCTGCAGCCACGCCCGCCGTCGCATACGCCCACACCGTGTTGGCCAGGTTCTGAGGGTTGAAGCCAGCCAGCCTGCTCCGCGCCGCCGCCTCCGCCACCGCCGCGTACAGCGCCTCCGCAGCCACGCCCGCCGTCGCATACGCCCACACCGTGTTAGCCAGGTCCTGCGGCTTGAAGCCAGCCAGCCCGCCGCGCACCGCTGCCTCCGCCACCGCCCCGTACAGCGCGTCTGCAGCTACGCCAGCCGTCGCATACGCCCACACCGTGTTGGACAGCTCCTGAGGGTTGAAGCCAGCCAGCCCGCTGCGCACCGCCGCCTCCGCCACCGCCGCATACAGCGCCTCCGCAGCCACGCCCGCCGTCGAATACGCCCACACCGTGTTGGCCAGGTTCTGAGGCGTAAAGCCCGCCAGCCCGCCGCGCACCGCCGCCTCCGCCACCGCCGCGTAGAGCGAGCGCACCTCACTCACTGGCAGCCGGCACTTGGCCGCACCGTGAGCGATATTTGCTAGTGCTCGCGCATTGCACGACGAGACGAGGTCGAGCGTGCGCTGCAACAGCCGCTCAAGCTGCTCCTCGTGCCGCCGCTCGACGCGCTGCTTGCCCAGTTTGTTCCACAGGTTTGCAGCGTGGATGTGGTTCAAGCTCGACGCGTGGGCAGCAAAGAGCGTGAGCAGTGCGTCAGCGCTGCCAGCATTCGAGATGTGGCTGCTGAGCTTCTTAGCGTTGAGCTGACCACCGGCAGCAGTGCGGCTAGACGAGGGTGGCTGATCGCGCTCATTGTAATAGTCGCGCTCGCGCTCGCTTCTGGACCGACGGTCATCGTAGCCGCTGGGGTGGTGGCACGGGTAGTCGGGCGGCTGGCCAGCCATGCTGTGGTGGCGGGGCGGAGGGATGTGGGGAGGGTAGCCCGGCGGCATGCCAGGCGACAGCCGCGGGCCGTACCCCATCCGCGGGTACCCGGGCGGAGGGCCGGAAGGCGGCATTGGCGCCCGCTGCGGCGGGCCGGGCGGCGGGCCGGGGGGAGGACGTGGCCCGTGGTAGCGGCCGTTGCTCGTCAAGCCATAGCCCGGCGGCATGCCAAGCCGCGCGTGTGTTTTCAGCGCTCTTTGGTGCAGTACCCGGGTACGACTGCCGTGCTTCTAGACGCCGTCGGGACAGAATTTTACGACGGGACTTGCACGGCACTAACACAGGTACACCATTAGAGAGCAAACGACACTGGGCACGGGACTAGTGCGCGCTGACACTAACACCATTGTAAAATTCTTGCGGACTTCCTACAGAGAAGCTCAGAGAGAGGGCTACGAGAAAGCAATGCAGCGACCACCGCAGAGGAGAGCGTCGGAGAGCTCGCCCTCGCGCACACAGCGCGAGCGATATACGTAGCGTAGCTCGTGGGGGCTACGGCAGTGTTCTAGGTATATATATATAAGTGCGCCTGTTACTCTCAAACGTCGTTAGTAAAGAGACAGAGAGGTCGCGAGCTCTCTGCTCTCTGCAGACTCTCTCCCGACACGGCTGAGCGCATCCCCGCGCATGGCTCTCGGGAACTCGCGGCGCGGACCGCCAGCGGCCAAGAGCCCTCATGCTGCACCACCGACGGCGTTCTCACTCACGCCGGCGCATCACATCCTGGGAGCCCTCTCGCACAGCCTCTCTCTCACAGAGTCCCGAGCAGCCTCAGCGCACCACCGCGGGGTAGTGCTCCGGGTACTTGTCGAGGTGCGCGTTGAGGGCCGCCTCCTGGTCCCGCTGCAGCCACGACGGCTCGTCGTACACGTCGGAGAAGAGGTACGCGTTGTTCGGCTTTGGCGCGGCCGACGCGTCGTTTAGCGACTTGATCACCTGCTTGCGGGTCGCCTTGCGGAGGTCCTCCTCCATCTGGGGCGACCACCAGCCGAGGGACTGGAGGTACCGCCCGAACCGGATGATCGGCGAGCGCGCCTCCCAGTACGCGCGCTCCGAGTCCCACCCCTGCTCAGGCGCGTGCGGGTTGCGGTACGCCGAGTCGTCGTCCGACGTCGAGTGGGCGCCGATGCGGTACGTCATGGCCTCGACGAGGACCGGCCGCCGCTGCTCGATGGCGATGGCCCGCGCGCGCTGCGTCGCGGCGACCACGGCGAGCAGGTCGTTGCCGTCGATCCGGATCGTCGGCAGGCCGTATGCCGGCCCGCGCGGCGCGACACCGTCGCCGGCATACTGGTCGCTCGAGGAGGTGGAGATGGCGTAGCCGTTGTTGCGGCAGAAGAAGACGACGGGGCAGCCGTGGACGGCGGCGATGTTCAGGCCGGAGGGGAAGTCGCCCTCCGACGACGTCCCCTCGCCGAGGTAGCAGATCGCGACCCGCTCGCCGCCGCCCTGCTTGAGGCTGTACGCGACGCCAGCCGCGTGCGGGCACTGCGTGCCGAGCGTGGACTTGACGTAGATGATGTTGCGCTCGGCGCTGCCGGTGTGGAGCGGCAGCTGCCGGCCGTGCGCGCGGTCGAGCGCGTTGGCGCAGAGCTGGTTCGCGATCTCCGCCATCGTCATGCCCCGCCAGAAGAAGACGCCGAGCTCGCGGTACTGAGGCAGCACCATGTCGCTCGGCTGCAGCGCCGCGGCGGAGCCCACGCTCGCCGCCTCCTCGCCGCGGGAGGTCATGTAGAAGGAGATGCGCCCCTGCCGCTGCGCGTCGTTGTAGATCTTGTCGAACTCGGACACGTGCACCATCGTGGTCATCATCGCGAGCGCCTCCTCTCTGCTGAGCGAGGGAACGTGCTGCTCGGCGCCCTCGACGACGCAGCCGAGGTCGTCCATCACGCGGAAGCACGGCATCGGGAGCGGCGGGCTCTCCACCTGCGGGTCCCAGAAGTGGAGGGCCGGCGTGTATGCGCTCTGCGCGCCCGCAAAGTGGCTCGTCTCCTGGCGGAGCTGCTCGTTCTCCCGCCGCAGAGCCATGTTCTCCTCGTGCAGCTGGTCGAGGGCGCTGACGGTGCTATTGCCGCGCCGCGCAGCACCCGCACGACGAGCGGCGATGGCAGCCAGCCTCCTCGATCTCAGCATGATGGAGTGGAAGGGTTGGCCGGAAGGGTTGGCCGCGTTCCCCAAGCTCCTTTATAACGCTCTGTTTTTTTTTGATTTTAGCCTTCGATGTTATGAAACAAACGCAAGGCGGACATGGCATATCGCTCTCGGGCCCACAGACATCCCGCACACTCGCCGCACACCCGCCGCCCCCGCGCGCCGTTTTTCTAACGTTTTCTGACGGGTTTTTTGAAGCGAGAAAGGGCGGCGCATTCGGCGGCGTACACTCGAGTACACGCTATCGGTTTTCCGGCAGTTCAGCCCGTAGCGTCCTGCTCCACAATACCCGGCGCAAATCTCTCCTCAATCAAGTGAAAAACAAACACGTTAGTGGTTAGAGTTGTTAGGGCGGGGGGGGGTCATATGTGTGTGCTTCAGAGCAGAGGGCTCCTCACAATGCTCCAGGCTCGAGGCTCCACGGCTCCAGCTCGAGGGCTCCAGGCCTCACTGTCACGCGTGAGTGAGTGAGAGAGAGAGAGAGAGAGAGAGAGAGAGTTTTGTTTTTCGCGTGAGTGACGCGTGACGCGAGATACCTGTGTTAGACTTAGAGAGAGATTTTTGCAATGTGTTTGTTATTTATCTCTCTCTCCCACCGCGCGCCAGTCCCGTGCCCAGAGTTGTGTTTGGGAGAGAGAGAGAGTTGTGTTTGTGGTGCATGGAGTTGTTGTTGTGAAATTCTTTCCGTTATCTTGTTCGTTGTTGCTCAGAGAGTTAGAGATAGAGTTGTTTGGTATTGAGAAGGCCCGCCGCCTGAACATGGGCTGCAAGGCGCGCGGGCAACCCGGCCAACCCTTCTCCCACAAGACCGGCCATGGCTACGTCAGGGCGCATCGCGGTTTCTACCACGACGCGATCTTTGTCAAGCGCAACAACTTCAACCTGCTGCTCCACGAGACGTTCGGCGGCGGCTTCTCGCCCACCGCCGTTCTCAAGCTGCGCCGCCTCGCGCGCAAAGCCGCGCGCGGCAGCGTCGACCGCACGGCCTACTCGCCCAAGTACTCGCTCTCTTTTATGTCCCATGCAGAGCGCATCTCGGTCTCTCTGTTGTGCGAGGCGTGAACCGCGCCATTCGCTCTCACCTGGCAACCCTGTCTGCACGTCTCGCGCGCGCGTGAACAGGGCAGTCGACGCCATCGTTGACTGCAGTGCCCCCGAGCCGACGCGACACTGACAGAGGGAGGTCACCGTCGCTTTCGACCGTGGCGCCGCTGGAGATGTCGCTCAAGAGTGCTGGAGGCGCGGGTGCGAGTGGGCCCGCGCGCTCGACGAGCGCACGCTGCGGGCGGACCACAACGGCGAGCGCAGCGGTGGCAAGGATAAACATCTTTCGTCGGGCTTTCGACAGGTCCTTGAGAAGACGGCCGGAGAGGGGAGAGCGTGATAAGCCGGATCCAGCTTAGCGTTTTTTTATTTTTCTGAGACCATGTGCCTCTTGACATCCGTTCACGTGCACGAGCTTCTTGAGCCCCCCACCCAACCACCCACCTCACGGCGGCCCGGCTGAGGCTTGGAACCACCCACCCACCCACCCCACCCACCCACCTCACGGTGAGGAAACCCACCCACACCGACCGACAAAACAAACCACCATGCAGAGCGCATCTCTCTCTCTGTTGTGCGAGGCGTGAACCGCGCCATTCGCTCTCACCTGGCAACCCTGTCTGCACGTCTCGCGCGCGCGTGAACAGGGCCCTTTCCTGCCTCACAAGGGCGGGGCTGTCCCGGAAAGTGAGAAGAACGCCGGGCAGCGTGTCGCGCAACTTTACCCTCCCATACGTTTCGAGAGAGAGAGACTGTCTGCACGTCTTGCGCGCGCGTGAACAGGGCCACGGTACAGAGCGTGTTCCCTTCCGATGGTTTTCGTGGAAATGAGAGAGCTTGGTTGGGAGCCGATTCGCCCCGAGACCCAACGATGGCACCGGTAGTCGAGTAGGAAGAGCGGACACTTCGGTGTATCTCCGTGGGCCGCCGTCTCTAATCTAGTTGCAGCTCCTGGGACAGCCCCCTTCCGCCTTCGCGGCGACGACTTGAAACTTTTGGTTTGGAGAGAGGCGTGAACCGCGCCATTCGCTCTCACCTGGCAAAGTTGGCAACCCTGTCTGCACGTCTCGCGCGCGCGTGAACAGGGCGAAAAAAGGAAAGGAAAAGAGACGGGGTGCGAGAGGAAAAGCTTGTTCAGCCTAATCATTACAGCAGTCTGTAAAAAAGAAATACCTGCTTCTCACAGCAGACTGGCACGGACTAGCACCACAAAAGGCGACAAAAGCCAACTGGGTGCGCTTCTTAGCTCCCCGGTGAGGTTGATAACTGCACTCCAAGTGCTCCATCCAAGTACTCACTCGCACAACACTGGGCACGGGACTGGCGCGCACTGGCACTAACACAGGTACTGAAAAAAGAAAACTTCCGCGTGCGCGGGATGCGGTGTGTGTCTCACCTGGCAACCCTGTCTGCACGTCTCGCGCGCGCGTGAACAGGGCCAGGATTCCGGCTGCCGCCGATGCTCCATCCCCCGCAACGAGCGTGCGATGCTGCATCACTGCGCCACGAGGCGCAGCAACCTCGACCCGGGTGTTGCTCGAGTCCGCAACGCCCACGGGGCGAATGCGATTGCCTGGCCCTATCGCCAAGCGGCTCTGCTCCTCCTCTTGTCTGGCAGCAATCGCACGCTGCGGCACAGGCCGCGTTGGCGCCGAGGAGGCGGCAAGCCTCAACGCGCCTACCCGTGGCATACCGCCGGATCGGGCCAAGACTAAGGCTGCAGGCGTCGGCCCCGGCTGCTGCGAGGGCCCTCCCGTTGAGGTGTCCATCTTATGTGCAGTGGGGCTAACCACTGTAGGTGTAGCGCGTCGGCAGATCCCCAAAACCGTCGTAAACCCCCCAAAATTGAAGTCGACCGCGCAAAGCTGTCCCCCCCCGCAAACTTTAAACCTCCATAAACATCATTTTGCAGGGGCAGTCGAAAACCGGCTATCAGCAGCAACTGACAGACCGCACGAAAACACCTCTGCCAACCAAAAGAAGAATGGTCACCGCAAAAGCAAGACTGGAGGCGCCCAGGCGGACCTGGCTAGCCAGGCTGAGCCCCTCGCAACCGACCCTCGACCACCCGCTCACGATTATGAGGCGAAAACCGGCTATCAGCAGCAACTGACAGACCGCACGCAAACACCTCTGCCAACCAAAAGAAGAATGGTCACCGCAAAAGCAAGACTGGAGGCGCCCAGGCGGACCTGGCTAGCCAGGCTTAGCCCCTCGCAACCGACCCTCGACCACCCGCTCACGATTATGAGGCGAAAACCGGCTATCAGCAGCAACTGACAGACCGCACGCAAACACCTCTGCCAACCAAAAGAAGAATGGTCACCGCAAAAGCAAGACTGGAGGCGCCCAGGCGGACCTGGCTAGCCAGGCTTAGCCCCTCGCAACCGACCCTCGACCACCCGCTCACGATTATGAGGCGAAAACCGGCTATCAGCAGCAACTGACAGACCGCACGCAAACACCTCTGCCAACCAAAAGAAGAATGGTCACCGCAAAAGCAAGACTGGAGGCGCCCAGGCGGACCTGGCTAGCCAGGCTTAGCCCCTCGCAACCGACCCTCGACCACCCGCTCACGATTATGAGGCGAAAAGCCAGCAAGGAGATCGACGAGGATGGCGTGTGCAGCTCCATTTTATTTTGTTGCGGACGATCGTTTCGAGGTGGTGCGCCCGCACCCCGCTCGTCGACCCCCTCGCACGCCGCTCGGCCGCATTTTGCAGTGTTCCTGCATCCACTGTGATACCAATCGTGCCTCAGACGTGCCTCACTGCACCACGCGCCGACACAACTCACAGGAAGGCTCCTCCTCTCCCTCCGCCTGGATATGTTAAGTAAGGCGAGAGAGACTCAGAGAGATTTTTAGCAATTGTGTTAAGGCGTGGAAGAGGGCATAATGTTGAAAAAAGAAGGGAGAAGCTGGGGGCCCGAGAGCGATATGCCATGTCCGCCTTGCGTTGTTCCATAAAATCGAGGGTAAGGCTAAAAGAAAAGGCGTCTTGCGATCCTAAAATGCGCGTCTCCCTGTCGAGGCTGTCTGCGGCCATCCAGGTTCCCGACCACCTGAAGCTCGTCAGCCAGCAGCTCACTCTCCCGATGGCGTCGGGCCGCTGCATGATCATCGGGCAGCCGAGCTTCAAGTACCCGATCGCTGTGATCCCGCCGCCACCCGAGGTGGCGCCGCTGCTGGCTGCCATCCGCTCGTGCGACGTCCGCCCCTTCCGCATCATCTCCTACGTCGAGGAGTCTGGCCGCGCCTTCAACTGTGCGCCGCCGTAGACGCCGCTCCCGCCAGCCTCGCGTGCCAGTCTCGGGTGGGCGTGCGCCGAGCCCGCGCCTGCGCCCGACGCGACGCGCCCGCGCCACCAGGCTCATTCTTCAACGACGAGGCGCACATGCGCGGCTGGATCGAGTGGCTGTCCGACAACGCCCTCACTGCCGGCAGCCAATTCCACGAATGCGTGCGCAGCGCGATGCCCGAGGACGAGCCGCTGCCGACCGCGGAGACGCTGCTTTTTGGCCGCGGCACGGACGTGCTCACCGACACGCGCTTCGGCGAGTACCAGGTCGGGATGTCCATCTCCTTCTCGCGGCAGGTGCCTCTCGGGCCGGATGAGTATGCCGAGATGTGCGAGGTAGCGGCGTCGAGAGAGTTCGAGCTCCGCATCGCGCGGTGCATGGAGGAGAGAAATGTCGACTACTTTGGCCGGCTCGCCATGCTCGAGGACCCACGGGCGGCCGCGGAGAGAGGCTCCCCCCCCGCCCTCATCACGGCGCTGCGCTACGGCTCGATTGACGACGCGAGGCGCGGCACGGCAGTGGTGCGTGAGCGCATGGGCGTCGAGCTCGGGCGCTGGTTCGGCGGCGGGCACACCTCGCTACTGGGCACGGCGACGCAGGTCCTCGAGCTCTGACCGACGCCGCCGCCGCGTGCCCCTCTCTCCGGCCCCTTTCCAACGCGATGGATTTTGACGACGTGAGAGCGCTGCCCGCCGGCGAGCGGCGGTGTCAGTGGAGCTGTGGGTGTGGCCGGTGCACGGTAGTCGGTAGGCGAGGGGTAGTGTACGGGGTAGCGCGTAGCGCGGTGAGGTGACGTCGGGCTTGAGATGTGATGCGTTGCGCTCGATATCTGATTTTCAAGCGTGATCAAAGCAAAGAAAATGAAACGCCGCAGTTTCCTCTCGTCCCTAGGCCGCTCTCTTTTTCCGCGCCGTCCCAGATGGCTCAGCCACCTGCCGGGAGGGCGCTTCATCTCTTGAGAGGCCAAATGGTTTGCGGAGGGCGCGCGCCTAAGCGTTGAGCTTCTCGTGAAGGTACTCATCGATGTACTCGGTCTTCCAGCCGCCCACACTAAGCTCGTCTACGGTCCGGCCGTCGGCGTCCTGCATGTAGAGCGTGGGCGGTGCGCCCTGGGTGTACGTCACGGATAGGTTGGGAAACTTACCCGCGCGCTCCTCGATGAACTCGGAGAGCGCTGGGTAATGCCCCAGCCGTCATTTACACACGTCGAGCACCGCCTTGGCAAAGTGCGACGCCCGCTGCGCCTCGTCCGTGCAACAGCCCGCGCATTCCTCGACCAACGTGCTGTCCTTGCCCACATGCTCGCCGAGCTTTGTGCACGATGTGCAAAGCAGCGAGGGGCCGAAGCCGAGAGATCGGCAGCGCTCGGAGCCGGGACCGTCCGTCGACGCGGCGGCCGACGAGAGCACCAGCCAAATCGGTGCGCCCACGGCCATCCTGGCGCGCCGGGCTGAGCTGGCCTGCAAAAGTAGATATTTTTTTCTCGCACGCACTGCGTCCCCCCCGGGGCAGTGCTGTGTGCTGGTCCCCGCGGGAAGCCCCGCGCATAGGACAACAACGTCTGTCCCACACACGCACAGACGCGCACATACATCATGCTCGGGCACCCCCCACAGTGTAGTCGTGGTGTGAGCACACAACTCTTAAAAAATCTCTCTCTCACAAGTACTAGCAGAGTGCACACCTGCCTTGGCGGGTGAGGGTCGTAAGAAAAAATAAAATATTCTTAGCTTCAAGCCCCCCTCCGAGACTGGAGACAGAACCCACCCGTACACAGGAGAGATGGGACTGCCCCCCGCCCCCACTTGCCCTGACTACACAGGATAGCGTGCCCCGAAGACGGCGACACATAGTGGGGGACACTGCGCAAGGAGGGGGTGCGAAAGCTCATTGGGGTGCTAGGTGGGACCATGAGGGGGGGTGGGCGGGGTCCTGTGGGGGTGAAATGTTGCGCGGCGAATTCGAGCCTACCCCCTCGCCGCGCCGATCCTCACGCGGAGGGTAAAACCCTGTGGGACAAAACCCCTCCGCGGTCGGCTGTCTTCAGAGTGGACCCCCCCCTCCCCAGCCTCCCCTGTGCATCGCGCACCCCCCCCCGCTCCCCATCGGTGACTCGCGAAGGACACGGACACTCGGGGTGAGGGGGGGTCCCCCCGGAGGGGGCTCTGGGGGACTGTTGGGTTGATCGCTCGTGCCGATCTCGGGTCGATCTCGGGTCGATCTCGGGTCGATCTCGGGTCGATCTCGGGTCGATCTCGGGTCAATCTCGGGTCGATCTCGGGTCGATCTCGGGTCGATCTCGGGTCTCGGGTCGGTCTTGGGTGTCGGTCTCGGAGTGGTCTAGAAAAGAAAAAAATGTCGGGCGAGATGAGGCGAGATGAGGCGAGGTGAGGCGAGGTGAGGGGCGATGAGGCGAGATGAGGCGAGATGAGGCGAGATGAGGCGAGGTGAGGCGAGATGAGGCGAGATGAGGCGAGATGAGGCGAGATGAGGCGAGGTGAAGGCGAGATGAGGCGAGATGAGGCGAGATGAGGCGAGGTGAGGCGAGATGAGGCGAGATGAGGCGAGGTGTACCTCGGCGAGATGAGGCGAGGTGAGGCGAGATGAATGAGGCGAGCGAGGTGTGAGGCGAGATGAGGCGAGGTGAGGCGAGGTGAGGCGAGGTGAGGCGAGATGAGGCGAGGTGAGGCGAGATGGAGCGAGGTGAGGCGAGATGAAGCGAGGTGAGGCGAGCTGAGGCGAGATGAGGCGAGACTAGGAGGCGAGATGAAGCGGGATGTTGTGT